CTCAACCGCTGCACCACCAGGGAAGCCCCTTTTCTTTTTTTTTTTTTTTTGCGTCCAAGAGGCTTGATTCGACAAACCATAAAGCATCTAGCTGTCAGCTCCTTAGGAAGACTGCCTGGCCCTAAGCGTGGAAGGAGGCTTTCAGCTCCTGACTTTTCTTGCCTCTTTCTCATTGATCTCATGGATTCAGCACTGTCACTGTTCACTTCATGAAACTTCCTGACAATTTACTCTTTACTTTTCCCTCTCTGACCCCACCTCAGTCTCCTTTTCTGCCCTGTCTTCTTCACACACACTCCTACCAGCTGTAAGCGTCCTCTGAAGGTCAGCCCTCTGCACTGAGAGGCCCAGAGACCATGGTTCCAAGATCCCATATCTTGACCTGTCATCAGCCACCTGCAGGAACTCACCACAAGCATAATAGCCCAAAGCAGAACACATCTTTCCACAAGAACACCTCCCCTTCCCAGCTTCTGTCATAGCTCCTGCCACTATTTTGTGACCCATTGCTCTCATTCTTTCATTCAACAAGTAGCTGAGTGTCTACCATGTTCCAAACACCAGACTAGACATCAGGGATGTAACTGAACAAAACCGAGACAGGGTCCCTGAAAGATGTTTCAGAGTTAGATAGAAATGTAAAATTACAATTGGGGTAGTGCTACACAAGAAACCATCTCAATCTACAATATCCTTCCCTTCTCATAATCCCTGAAGTCTCCCTGCTTTTAATACCAACCTGCCTGTGAACTTTTTCTGCTCTTACCATAGACCATGCATATACCACATCAGAGTGTATGTACCCCCCCCCAAGGTCCTGAAATAGTCCTTTGAGGAATAGAAGTAAAATATTGTAAGTGCTGTTCCTATTTATTTTTATTGCTCTTTTAAAAATGTCTATTTTATATATATTTATAATGGAATTATTAATATATTTAATAAACTTATAAATACACATATGGGGCTCAGAAATTTTTTTTTTTTTTTTTGTATGACCCAGATGAAAGAGATGTTAGTATTTTGCCATATTTGCTTGAGATTTTCCCATTTTATACTTTTTCTGTTTAAAAGATAAAACTTTACACGTGTGTCTCTTTTCCTTTCTACTTCCGCATAGGTGATGATCATCGGGGAATTGACATATGTGAATCCATTAATGCTTTTGTCTTTGTTTTTGAATTTCAATAATAGTATATGATACACAAATTGCAAAACATTTACATTTTTTAAATGCTTGATCAATTCTTTTGTTTAAAATGTTGTGCAGTATGCCATCGTTTGAATGAACTGTAATTAATTTATCCATTTGAGACACTGAGATATATGCTATTATTGTTGATTTGAGCAAACTTTTACACACAAGTTCATGGTACACTTCCCATGTTCAAAATATTCCGGAAACTTCTATCGTTTGTTTGTTTACTTTGGCCACACTGTGTGGCTCGTGGGATCTTAGTTCCCTGACCAGGGATTGAACCCAGGCCACAGCAGTGAAAGTGCCAAGTCCTAACCACTGGACCACCAGGGAATTCTCAGGGCTCAGAAATTTTTTATTGAAAGAAGGAGATGATCAAAAATTTTGCTGACCACTGAGCTATACCTACCCCTAATTAGTTGGTGATATTCTCTTTTTTTTTTTCTTGTTTGTTTCATTTATGTTGGTATGGTCTCCTTAACCAGATTGTCAGTTCCTTGAGCACATAGACAGTTTCTTATCCTTTTCTAGTATATCTCATGGGCCCTGCCTTGTGGTTGTCACTAAATTAATGAGCATTTACAAATACTTTGATTCAGCTGATCTTCTCCAGGAAGTCTTCCTCAAGTTCTCTGCCCTCACCCAACCCCATGATGGCCAGCTACTCTGCTATATAGGAATCTAGATAGCAGTCTGTAGCAGTCATTGCCCTTGTTGATTATATACCATTGTGTCAGAGTTGTTCTGCTGAGGTAATATCCTTGATAGTTGAAGGCAGGGACCATGGCCTCACAGTGTCTAGTCTGGTGCTGGGGATATCATAGTAGTATGTGCCCAGTAAACCTTTGCAGGTTCACTCACCTAACTACTGCCCAAGACCCTTTGGGTTTTCAGTTGAGGCAATAATAATCCTTCATTTGCCTCTGCTTGAATTGGCCCAATGTGGTGTGAGCCAGAGGGAGGTGTATTTGCCAGTGGTGAAGCCCGCGTGCCTACAGCCTGTGCGCCGCAGCAAGAGAAGCCACCGCAATGAGAAGCCTGCATGCCTCAACAAAGTGGCTGCTGCTCGCCGCAACTAGAGAAAGCCCGTGTGCAGCAACGGAGACCCAGCACAGCCAAAAATAAATAAAATAAATAAATTTATAAAAAGTAAAATACTGGGGCTTCCCTGGTGGCGCAGTGGTTGAGAGTCCGCCTGCTGATGCAGGGGACACGGGTTTGTGCCCCGGTCCGGGAAGATCCCACATGCCGCGGAGCGGCTAGGCCCGTGAGCCATGGCCACTGAGCCTGCGCGTCTGGAGCCTGTGCTCCGCAACGGGAGAGGCCACAACAGTGAGAGGCCCGCGTACCACAAAATAAATAAATTAATTAATAAAATAAAATACATACTTGTTTTACCATGTATTGGAAAGAAAACAGTATTAGATAATTTTGCAAGTACTGTGCTTAGAGAGTCCATTTAAAGAAAAAGTTTAATATTAGTATAGGTAGTTGTGGATATGGCAGAATCATGCAGGCAGCCTCTGAATGACTGATTTGGAGAACTCTAACCCAACTTGTTCAAATGGACAGCTGGAGCCGCAGGAGCCCTCAGCCCCCTTAACCACATCTTTATTAGGAGCTTCTTTCTTCCTAATCCCTCATGTAGACATAAGTAGTCTCTTGTAACCTCACTTGCTATAAGTGCTTAATAATAACCCAAAGGTATCTCATTAATTGGTCTAAATCCTAACGAGCAAATGAGAACATGGAAATATACTCCCAAGGTGAGCATCAGAGCAATAGCTTCTGAGAAATACAGAGGTCAGAAAGCTGAGCCTCTGTCCCAAGGGACTCAGCTGTAGTTCTTTCTATGTGTTGCAGTTTCTGGAACTTTACTCCAAGAGGTACCATAGGACAGAATGCCCTTGGAATTTCCAAGCCACGATGGCCCACACTTCACTGTGGGTGTCATCTGTGGCTGATGCAATCCCAGCTCGGCTTTGAGGCCCACTTACAAACTCTTAGCAGAGGCATGTGTTGACTCATTTTCCATCATCGGAATGAAACGGTCTCTCCCCTTCTCCTACCTGGCTTTCTGTTTTTCAGAATGAACTTTTCATTCCTTTACTTGAAATTGGACTACCACAATTTGACTGTTTTGAAATTTCAAATGTCATTTCTTTTCCTCGGTAATGAGCAAGACAGTTTACAGTTCAAAATAGAAGGTGGATCATTCTCCAATATCTTACTCAGGGTTTCTAGACAGCACTTGCTGATAATTGGGTTACTTGAAAGTAACTTGATCAACAAGGGGAGGATAGGAAGAAGCACTGTTGTTCATTGTTGGTGGGAATATAATTTATGGACTGTTCTTAGGAATGTAAATTGGTACAGCCTCTTAGAGGGTAATTTGAATCTACAGGGAATATCTGTGAGAATTAAAAAAGCATGAACCCTTTAACCTAGCAGTTCTCTCTCTAGGAAATGATCTTTCAAATATATCTGCATGTGAGCCAAAAAAATTTTTAGAGGGATCCACTGTTTATAATGGCAAAAGATTGGAAATAACCTAAATGTCCATCAGTAGAAGATTGGTTAAATTATAATACAGCCTTATGTTGGAATTTTGTGCAGCTGTTAAAAAGAACGGGGCAGCTCTGTATGTGTAAATATAGAAGGAGCTTCAAGTTGTTAGTGAAAAGGCAAGGTTCAGAACTTTCATTTTTGTAAGAAAAAATGCTAAGTTTACAGAGGTATACTTATATATGCATAGACTATCCCTGGAAGAACAAACAAGAAACTTCTGATAATTGTCTCTGAGAAGGGGAACTGGGAGACAGGAAGAAGAGGGAGACTTTGTTTTACATTATATCCTTTTGTATTATTTGAATTATTTTTACCATGTGCTTGTATTATCTACCTCAATAATTTTTAAAAGTTAAATCCACAGGAAATTTTATACTAAATTGCTTTGGATTTTTTAAATTACCAATATTTAATTTAGTGGCTAATAAACTGAAAAAAGTTTAAGAAAATGTGTACCTATACTTTATGTAGCATTGGAAAGATGCTAACAATCTCACCTATTTTTTCCCTTTTAATAGCGTACAGACACAGACCTGATTCAACAGTGTATAGATGAGTGCACAGCCAGGATTGAAATTGGACTACATTACCAGATTCCTTATCCAAGGCCAGTAAGTGTGACTCCAGTTAACATGTGGTGTGTACTTATCCTTGTCAACCCAGTTATTTCCAAGAATGTGTACCAAGAGGGCTGGTGTTTGCTGAGAAGTCTAGAGCTACTAGCAGGCATGTTGGAAATAAGCTACCCTTGTGTGGCCACCAGCCCATCACAACAGACTAAAATGTCAATGAACGCCTGATTTCTCCTACTTGAACAACTTTCCCTTATATGGAAGGGAAAGCCAGCTCACATTTACATAGCTTTCTCTTCGGACTTTCACCTTTTTTATGGAAATATTTTTATTTTCCTTATTGTAAAACACAGGTTTATTGTTAATGAAGGAATAAAATTCAAATATTAAAGGAATGCATAAGGTAGAAAGTGAAAATTGTCAAAAATTCTCACCCTGTGGAAGTGACCACTATAACTGTTGAGTTGGACCATATGAAATTGCCAGTATTCTACTCTTGACCTACAAAAACAGCAATTTTATATTGTATTTGCTCAGCCTAACAGTTTGGTAATATATCCTTCTAGTCTTGTTTTCTATACTCATGTACATACATTTTCTTAAAGTACATGGGACCCTAGGTATTACTGTTTATCGTCTATTTATTTTACTTCCTCTCTTTTGGATATCTTTTAAAATGGATGCATTGTATCCTATTGTAAGAATATGGCATAATTTAACCAGCACCCACCGTTTCACTAGACATTTGTGTTGGTCCCAGTTTTCCACTATGCAAAGAACATCTTTGTGTATACACTTTTTTCCTCACCTTCTTTGGACTCTCATCTCACTGTGTGATCTGTGGTTTTTTCCTCCATGCAGGAAATACGGCAGAGAAGAGCACAAGCTTTGGAATCATACAGATCTGGGTTCAAATCCTGGTTCTATCAATCACTTAGTGTATAATCTCGAGCAAGTTATTTAACCTGAACCTCCATTTTCTCATCTGTGAATATTAGAATAATAATTCTCTATGAGATTATATTGAGGATTAATGTGTATAAGGACTATAAGGAATCATGAGTCAGTATAGAGTTAGCACTTAGCAGAGAGCATGGTACTTAGTAAATCTTCAGTGAATATAAGCTGCTGCAATAAATATAATTCTTAATATTATTATCATTATTCAGATTCATCTACCTCCTATGGGCCTTACCCCACTACGAGGCCGGGGACTTCGAAGCCAGGAGAAATTGAGGAAATTTTCCAAACCAGTGTATCTCAAGTCTCACGATGAAGTTTCCTAACCCAGAAAAAAAGTTTTTTTCTGAGAATGATGAGCCAACTAGGTCTTAAATGTAAACCAGACAACAAAACTCTTCTTGATTAGGAGCAAAAATCCAAATATCTTCTTAAAACCTTCGAAATACTGGTACTCACCCCATGATGTGTGCTCACACATCACTACAGTTTGTCAGGATCTTGCTGCCTGAGTGGACAACACTAACCCTAGAGGTCATGGACCTTATATCCTCACTGAAGCGTCATCTGGAAACAAAACTAAGGCCTGTGGGCAGAAGACTGAAGGGTGACAAAGCTCTTCAAGGAAATGCCGATCACCAGACATGCCAGCTGATATGAAGAAATTAGCCAGTTGCTGGAAGTTCTCATGGCTACTATAAAACTATATACCACCCCTCAGAATATTTTTAGGCTTTTTTTTTTTCAAGTTATAGATTTGCTTAAAAGTGGGTTTTTTGTTGTCTTTTGAGACTTCCAATTTCCACATAAACTCCCCTTAAAAAGCGCATCATTGGATCAATCATGGTTTTTCACTGAAATTTTATATGAGACCCATCTCTGCCCCAGACATACACATACACAAAAGTTCATGTCTTAGGTAAATGCATATGTTTAGTTCATCTTAAAGCCTATAATTACTTTGGATACACTTAGGATCTGAAAGGCTCACTAGAAACTCATACTGCATTCATTATGAGAATTTTACATTAACATAATTAGGAAGTACAAGAGCTAAGCTGGCCTTCAAATTATATCCAGACTGAAATGGGACAAGTAGAGATCAAAACATAAAGGACTTACACCCCTGCATGTGTGGATACAGGTGAGATTCCCATGGCAGTTCATTTGTATGTCGGCGTCATTCCCTCTTACCTCCAAACGGGCTGGGTAATCTCCAATAAAGAAAAATCTCTAGTGATTTTGGTCTCTCTCTACTGTTTTCCAGAATGGCCTTGTGATCCTCAAAAGCAGCAGTTGATAACTTCCTGCCCATACCTAGATTTAGGATTCACTTGTCACACAGATTCTCTAATTTAAAATATGTATATTTCAATTTCAAAACCCGTTCCTGTGAGCAGGAACATACCTTTTCATGCTCAGGATAAGTAAGTACTACAGGGTTTGGCAGTGACATGGAGAGCAAATATCATACTGTGTCCGTAGAGATACAGCATGTACATATTTAACACAAATGCAGCTATAGGCCTTTGATGGAGAGAGAGAAATGTAAATGTGCTGGAAGGCATGTCGGCCCCTCCATGGCCATTCGGTGAGCACATACCCCAGCCTCGCTTCAGTTAGGAGACATCAGTCTGCTATTCCATCAGTCACTCTCCTATCTGATCTCATTGTGGAAGCATTTCCCTACCAAGAGGTGGTTCTGACGTTTAAAGTTAAGTATTTCTAAAGCAACATAAGGCCTGTGAACTCAAGCCAACTGCTTTATCTGGTGGTCAGTCAATGAAACGCTGACCTGTTCTTACATTGGAGGAAAAACTGGCTGTGCTGGACTGAGTGAAACATGACTTGCTGTCTCCATCATTGCCCCTTTCTAAGTAATTCAAGGTGATTTTGAATATGCAATTTTTGTTTTACGCTGTAGGGGTTAGAAACCATCCTTCCTACCCAGACGCTTCCAAAATGGAAGTCCAATCTAATGCTAGCTAACCTCTAAGTACCTTCTGTGTGCCAGGAATCTTCCCTAAATGTGAATTTTATACGCCTAGCCTCCTTTGCAAAGATGCATATTCTATTACACAGAAACATAATTTCCTGCCAGACTTTCCATGAAACCTATTTGTTTATAATTTTTTCTTTTCATTTTCTCTCCAACCCTATAAAATCTCCTTCTTTGGTCTTTCAAAGGTATCCCCTACGTCCCCTCTTTCAATGAAATTTTCTTCCAATGCTGACAAGGACTGAAAACTAATTACTCAACAGCTAGATTTTTAAAGAGCAAGGACTAGCTTGGTGACAAGGTTTGTCTGATGTCATCTGCTGAGGTATTTATAGGCAGGGCCTGCAGCTTCTCATGGAGCTGATCTCTGGCCATCTCTGCCCCAGGGCCCCAGCCTCTAATTCACCAGGACTCCTGAAGAACCTACTGCTCTCTCCTGCAGTGGGGGGGGGGGCGGGGGGGGACATTAATTAACACATGGACCCCGACAGAAAATGACCCTAAATTTAGGAGAATCTTTTGAATTGAGGGAAATTTTTTAAGTTACAAAAATTTAATCCATCGTACATGAACATCCTGTCCCTTGACCCCTGAGGAACGCAACAGTCCCTGCCTCCCTCAGCTTTTGTCGCTGAAGGTGGAGTTAGATACCTGTAAGAGAAATTCAGTTGTTCTCTTAGCAACCTTCTCACTGCCTTATAGCTTACAATCTGACTTACCTAGCCAGTCGAAGATTCAGGGATTTGGGATCCTGACCGTCTTTCCATCTCACATGGCTTATTAATCTATTTGGAATAATAGAGAATAAGGCAGTTCCAGCTATCTATTAATTCTGATTGTCTTTCCTCTATTGGAAAAAGTTATGTTTCTTCAAGAAACAGCTTTTTTGTTGCTGTTGTTTTGTTTTTTTGTTTTTGCGGTACGCGGCCCTCTGACTGTTGGGGCCTCTCCCATTGCGGAGCACGGGCTCCGGACGCGCAGGCTCAGCGGCCATGGCTCACGGGCCCAGCCGCTCCGCGGCATGTGGGATCCTCCCGGACCGGGGCACGAACCCGTGTCCCCTGCATCGGCAGGCGGACTCTCAACCACTGCGCCACCAGGGAAGCCCGAGAAATAACTTTTAAGCTACCTACTTGGAGCTGAAAGAGAGTGGCTCCAACTCACTGTCTCTTTATTGGCCCCAGGCAAGATTTGGAGAACTCCCCTTTTGCACTTGGGATCAATTAGATGATTTGCTGATCTCAGAATTCAGAGTCCTCAATCAGAATTTGATTGGCTCCACACTCCCATGAAGAAACAAGTTTTCTGGAATATGTTTATGTGGTTCTCAGAAGCTTCATTTAAGAAAAATCAAAGACCCCAAGTCAGGACATTTCTTCTAATGAAGAGGCAAGGAAGCCAGACCAGACACATTAAGATTCCCAAGAAGCCTTATGTCTTTGCTCATCTATGGACTGGCCAAGGGAATGCCCTAGAAGTAGCCATTTAGAGCCAAAGAGCCAAAGAGCCACAAGAGAGAGCTGGTTGAGAATATATCAAGAATTTGATTTTTCTCTCCCTCAGGATTCTCTTCCAGCTGGCCCTGGGGAGAAACAGTGATAAACTAGAAATTTCTTGGACATGGTTGTTGGAACTACACATCTCTTCTAAGATTCTACATCACAATATAGCAAAGTCCTCAGCAAGGAGGCAGCGTGAAGCCGTGAAAAATGCACAGGTTCTAGAGCCAGACAGACCTTGGCTCAAAACCTGGCTTTTCAATGTGAAAGAGCTGGATAACTGTAGGCAAGTTAGATTCCTTGAACCTCTAGAGGGGGAGACAATCATATCCAACATAGGTACAAGCAAGATATCTAAAGGCCCAGGGACAAACCAGGGCAAGCAACAAATAATGGTTCTCTCACATCTCCTTTCTTCCTGAAATTTCTGCCCATCTGTGTAGGCTAGTGGAGAAGAATTGGGGTCCCAGTTCTACCACTGGCTAGCTGTAAAATTGAGCTAGTTACTTTTCTAAGCCTCCATCTCTGCATCACTGAAATGGAGATAACGATAATACTGCATAAGATTGTTGTGAGAAGTACATTTAAATATATATATCAAGAGGCTTTAAAAAGTAAAAGTGGGCCAAGCATCTTTCAACCTATGAGAAGCCCTAATGTTAGCCCATGTGAATAGACTAGGAGAGAAGCACTTAAAGATCAGTGACAGTTACGGCAAAAAAAAAAAAAAAAAAAAAAACCACCAGGCAGCTTAGCCACATGACTAAAGGTCTAGGTTGAACAGTCCCACTGCCTGTGTTCAAATCTAGGCTCCACTATTTTAGTAGCTATCTGATTTGGAAAATATTGCTTTCTCTATATCATGGTTTCTGCAGCCATAAAATAAGGATAATAACCCACTTTATAGGAATGCTCTAAAATACCTGGCTCATAGCAAGTGCTCCATTAATATAAAGGTTATCATCATCATCATCATCATCATCATCATCATCATCATCCCATGTGACTACCAAGAAAGGAAAGCTAGATTTCAGTCAAGAATGAAGTTCCTGGGCTTCCCTGGTGGCGCAGTGGTTGAGAATCTGCCTGCTAATGCAGGGGACACGGGTTCGAGCCCTGGTCTGGGAGGATCCCACATGCCGCGGAGCAACTAGGCCCGTGAGCCACAACTACTGAGCCTGCGTGTCTGGAGCCTGTGCTCCGCAACAAGAGAGGCCGCGATAGTGAGAGGCCTGCGCAACACAATGAAGACTGGCCCCCACTTGCCACAACTAGAGAAAGCCCTCGCACAGAAACGAAGACCCAACACAGCAAAAATAAATAAATAAATTACTAAACTCCTACCCCCAACATCTTCTTTACAAAAAAAAAAGAATGAAGTTCCTTTTATTTTCTGTGTTGAGACAGATGCCATCAGTTATCTAGCTGGCACAGTGAGGCTACTCCTCGGTTTACCCAGTGCTTCTGGGGCCTGTCGGTTGGGAGTTCAATGGATAGGACATAGTTGGTGGAGTGGCCTGTGGTGGAGAGGATACCTCTTCGGGCACTTGTTTTGTAGACTGGACACACATAAATGTTCTGATGCAGAAACATTGCATTTTCCCCAGGTTTCAGCCAAATAATGGGCAATGGGTCATAGAGGATTCTGGGGAGAGACTCCCCGATCTGCATCGTTTCCCTATCCCAACGGGCGCCTTCTAAGAAGAGTCCTTTTATGTAGGCCCCATCTTCTGGGTTATCCTCCATGACTGTTTCTTGTGTGGTTACCTGGAAGACAGGAAGCTGTGAGTTCCATTATCTGCCATTTTCCTAAATGAGGCAGCATTAAGAGATTGAAAAAGTACAAACTGGCTTTACTGTCTGCCTTTCCCAGGATGCATTTCCCAGGACATTGGGGCTTCTCTGATAATATTCCTGCCTGCTACATGGGCCAGGTCTGATTTCTAGTTAGCATGCTGCCCTTATATATGGCAGGCACAGAGAATGCACTAAAGTAAGAGGCAGGAGGCCACATTAACTGTTACCTAGCTTAGTGGCCTTGCACAATTTTTCCCCTTTCTGAACCTCCATCTGTAGTGAGGGGTTAGGTTCAGATGCATGCTGGTAAAACAGTTCTCTAGCAGGAGAAGTGAAACCTTGATTTGTAGTTTCTGTCAATTTCTGTGGTGTAAAGCCTCCCACCATGGTCAATTTCAGCCTATCAATTGTTTAACAACCAGCTTTAACAGGTTCTGGTGAGTTAGTATGAGCCAGCTCCAGCATACAACTGTTTAGATTCAGAGGTGATAAATTTCTTCTGGTAAATGCAGAAAATGGTCTAGGTGTAGGAGAATAGCGGGGTGGAGGGGATTATGGTGAAGCAGAGAGCACGAGCTCCATTTAAAATCATTCAAATTCTAATCTTTTCGTTATTGTTAATGGAATGTTTTTCCCATTTCTAAGTATTTATTGCTAGAATAGGAAAAGGATTTTTGTATATTTAACCAGTATCCAGTCATCTTACAAATTCTATTAATTCTGATAGGTGTGTTTTTAGGATTTCTAGGTATACAATCATTTCAACATCAAAAAAAAAGATAGTTTTATCTTTTTTCCAGTGTTTATTCCCGTTATTTTGCTTTCTTATTGCATTAATTTTGGCTTAGCATTGTCTTCAAAGGCCAATCAAGGTAAGTTCATTTATAAACTAAATAAAGACCTAGGTCAATCAGTTTGTGACCTCCGGACTAGATGATTTCAAAGGATCTTTCTATAGAATTTAAAATTCTACAATGCTCTGTAACAGTCCATCTTACTACTTTCTCCCCAAATATGGACTGGGTGATACCTGACTATTGGCAATTCCTTTGACTTTAAGCAGAGCACTACACAAGACCATTAACATCCTTCCAAATGAAGAGTCCTCCATGTTGAATAAACAATGTGGAAGGTGCTTTCATTTTTCTCGGTACAACTGTGGCAGAATTTTCCTCTGGAAAGATTCCTTTTTATACACACAGAGACAAAGCCTTAGGAATCCTCTGATTCTGCTGGGAATAACTTTTGGAGCTACTTTAAGTCATGCTAAATACTTCATTTGTACCATCTCGGAAGTATTTGAGCCTTAACAGATCCAAATGTTTGGACTCAAGGAAAGGGACAGCACTGCTTTCTCTGGTTGGCCCTTTGAGTTGATCTAACCCAAGACGCCCCTTACCTCAAACTCAAATCCGATGTGGTCAATGGGGATGGCGTATTTCCGAGCGTAATTCTGAGAGACACCTGTCAAAAAAGACTGTGTAAAGTAGAATCCAGAGATCCAAAAGACCACAGGAGGCCCGTTGTCAATCCATTCCTGGAGAGCCACAGAAATAAAAATGCAAAGTCAACAACACAACAAAGATAGTTCAAAGGCAGGTAATACAACGAGTCCCATAAAGAAATAGGCTTTTTCTCATTTTTCTTGAAACAGGCAGCCCTCTCAGTTTAGCTTATATTTTCCCCCTTTGAAATGAAAGTACAATGAAATATATCTCTACTTTAAGAAAAGCGCGGGTGCAGGCGTGTGTCAGGGATACGGTAGAGCGTGGTAGGGACTGTAGCAGTGGAGAGTGTGTGCCTTGTCTAAACTGAGCCACAGCCACTCATCTCCAGCAATAGTTGCCATGCTGGAATGCAGGTCCATCGTTTCAGGTCTTCCTGTTTTTGCAGGACAAACATCTGTATTTTGATATGTAACAATCCAGTGTTCATATGCTAGCTCAAATTTTTAAATAACCAAGCAGCCAAACCAAATCTATCTACTAGCCCATGAGCTGTGGCCCATGAGACACCAGTTTGTGACATTTATTCTGGTTCCCACTCCTGCCTCTAGAGGCTATAATCTTTTTTTTTTTTTTTTTTTTTTTTGAGGTACGTGGGCCTCTCACTGTTGTGGCCTCTCCCATTGCGGAGCACAGGCTCCGGACAAGCAGGCTCACCGGCCCAGCCGCTCCGCGGCATGTGGGATCTTCCCGGACCGGGGCACGAACCCGTGTCCCCTGCATCGGCAGGCGGACTCTCAACCACTGCGCCACCAGGGAAGCCCGAGGCTATAATCTTTTCAAGGACTTTGAAAAGTCTCCCTCCTGCCCTCAACCCTGGTAAGACTGTTTCCAGTAGGTGCTCAGTCCAGGATGCTGTGAGGCTGCCCTACTCCCTCTGCCTCTAATCCGTCATTTCAGAACGTCCTCTCCACCTGAATGAGAATGCCAGGTGCCCAGTTACCCTGACTCCAAGGTACCTGGAAGAAGGCCAAGCGGGCTAGCAGGTCAGCCACGTAGCCTCCCAGGGGCTTCAGTGATGGGTAGGACTTGGTCATCCACATGGCCGGCACTTTACCCACAAGCATGCTACTGAAGACATCCTCCAGCTCTGAGGACATCAAAACCTGCCCTTTAATTGCTCGGCCAAGGTCGATGAGGCTTATGCGAACCACTTTGGTCAATCTGCAAGAACAAAGGAGGACACTCAGCCTGGCTCTCCAGTGACCTCATTCTACCCCAAGTACACTGACTCCAAGTCTCCTTTTACTTTTCCTCCCTTTAAAAAGTCAGATAATATACATTCATGATAGAAGAATTGTAAAGATGAGAAAAAATTAAATCACCCATTATCTCACCACCTAAAGATAACTTTGATGTATATCTTTCTAGATTTTTCCATATGTAAACACAAATTATTTTTTAATGGGATCATGCTATATATGTGTTTTTTGTAATTTGTTTTTCTCTCTTAGCACATAAGGAACATCTTTCCAATTCAATAGAGACCAAACTAAAATCGTCCTTTTTAATGACTGCAAGGTGTTCCATTTAATTTAACTGTTCCTCTATCACTGAAACATATATTTCTAGATTGTTGTCACTGTAAACAACATTACTAGGAACATCCATCTATATTAATCACTGCGGAAATTTATAATGATATTCTTACTAAAAGTAGAATTTCTGGGTCAAAGGGTAATGCAGTTTTAAGGCTTCTGATCTATATTGCCAAAGTTGTTCTTTTTATAGACTATGAGGTGCATGCATACCTGAGAAAAGGCAGCTGAAGGGCAGCCTGAAAGATGCCAAGATCACCTGTCTCTCTCTCTGGCCTCTGTTATGAGGCCTCATCAAGCCCAGAGGGAATTCAGCTGAGAGTGCCAAAGACTCTGCTACCAGAGAGAGCTTGTCATGTCCAAAGACTTATGGAATCCCAGCCGAATGGACATGAGAAGGCTCAAACGCAAGAAAGGGATTCCTGGATGTGTAACCACTAAACATTTATATTAAGAGGAATTTAAGGTTCAAGCGTGTTACTGGTGTATGTGCTTGGCTGAGGAGTCAAGAGCAAAACCACCCTCTGCGGGATTATACCACAGACCTCTATTATACCTGAAACCTACTGGAAAAAGGTTTCTTTCTATTCTTGAAACTATGAGCTCTGCTAGTTTCAAGATTTTTAGTACTCAGGGAAGGAATATTTGCCCTAGAAGACACAATAATGGTTCCCCTGAATTGGAAGCTGAACTGTCATTTTGGGCTTCTCATACCACTGGGTGAATAGGCAAAAAAAAGGTAGTGGGGAAGTATGTTACAATATTGCCCCAAGTAGTTAATCCTGAGCATCACTGGAATATAAGATTGCTGTTACCCTCTTCTCTTCTATTACAATGGCCAGTGGTAAAGGCTAGTGAAGGCCCCTGTAACCACCAAGAGCTCCAGTGACCTTAGCAGAGAATGAGTGGCAGAGGAGGAAAGCCATTGGCCTGGTGTCTGGATGAGTGAGGACTACAACCCATCATACCACGGTATCTGACTCAAGTAGTCAGCATCCTTGACTCACACGCCATACTTTGCTTGGTCATCCGCACAGCCAACTGCCTACTGACTCTAGGGAGTAACCCTAAGACTAAGGGAGTCAAGAAATTCTTAGTTGACATTCTTCAAGTTCACCAGTCTTTCGGCATCAGGGCTGTCCCTAAAACCGAGCAATGACCAATGAAGCAAAATGGAGACAGCAGCACTTAAGAGTATTTGGAGCAGCAAGAACCTTGACTTGGAGGCAGAAGTGATGAATTTCCTCATCTGGCCTAGATGGTGTTTGGGAACTCTTTCAGTTTTGACTATCTAGAAATCAAATCAAGGTTATCCCACTGGGCTCTATGCTCTAGTACCTGGAGGAGAAGTGAGGAGGGACTAGAATAGAAGGCCGGAGACCCTTAGCCCCATGGCCATCTTATAATAGCCCTTCCTTACCCCTGTGGTCGCGGCAAAGGGATGAACTGTTCCTCACCCCTTTCTAAGTTTACCCTGATTTCACATACTGGCTAACTGGCTCTGGAATCAGAGAGCCTGGATTCAAACTCGGTTCTGCCATTGAATGACTGTGTGACCTTGAGCAAGTTACTTAGCCCTTCTGTCTCAGTTTTCTCATTTGTACAACAGTGGTAGAGGGATTACTAACTGTGCATATTTTTAAAGACTATTGTGTGGTTTGAATGCAAAGGCATGAGTGGTGCTTGGAGCCATTTCTAGCACTAAAGGCTCAATAAAAGTGGCTTTAATGATTACTTTTACTATTAGCCCGTGCTTGGTATTGGTTTTAACCCCAGTTTACAGATGTCATATGAATAATGAAGAGAGAATGAATAGAAGGAACTGATTTAACCCTGGGCCAACACATGCTGGGATGGCCCTATTTATAGCCCTTCCTACAAGGTAGGGCAAACCAACTCTGCACAGCAACCCTTATCAAGTGTCCATTCTAGTTACTGCCCATTAGATTCTACCCCTCACACTAACTCCCAGGATCCAAGTAAGACCATACAGCCCACCTGTTGAATCTGATGAGCTCTTGCCTTAGGACAGTGTTCATAGATTCATCATAGACCACAGGGTACAACTTCATGACCAACTCCAAGTCAAAGTCATTGGGAAGCTTGGAGAGTAGGTCCTGGGCCAGCTCCTCAACCACTTCCTTAAAGTGTAAGCATTAGACAGGTGAATGAGACACAAGGCCAGCGGGCTGTGGCTTTGTCCAGTTAAACATGAAGCAGTGAGCCTTTGAATTTTTAAACACGTCTACAGGACCTTTCTGGGAACTCTCCTACAGAAGCCAATTCTGCCCTGAGGGGAAGGAGGATACCCATCCCACCCACTCCCGCCCCCCCACCCCTGCCCCCAGCCTTAGGGAGGACATCATCTCTATGCTGAACAATGAAAGTCCTGAGCAAGGGCCTGAGGGCCAGGTGGGGAATTCGTGCTCAGCCAGCCAGGTAGACTCAGGGCAGTGCTGAACCCTACAGACCGCCTCCAATCTTCAAGGTCACCGCTGGGAGACAATCTCCCAAGGCTCTCATAGCCAGCCCCTTAGGACCAGCTCCTGGTGCAGGTGAGACTTTGCTCTGTGCCAGTGACATGGACACCTGGGAAGGCAGCAGGCCATTCCTCAGCATTAAGAATAGCCCACGGCAGTGAGTTTAGCCAAGTAGGGAGGGGACAGGCCTAGAGGAAGAGTAGGAAGAGGAGGAGTGGGACGTGGGTGTGGGAGAGAAACACAGCTCTGCCATCCTTTGGCTCGAGGAGGCTGGAATGTACACTTCCTTCCCTCTTCCCACTGTGAGGGGAATTTCCATCCCTAAGCTGAGACACACAAACCAGGCTGCTTTATCTTCACACATATTACCGCTTATGGTACTATGAACCAAATTGAGAAACCAAATACAATCATCCCTTGGTATCCACTAGGGATTGGCTGCAAGACCAAACTCCACAGATGGTCAAGTCCCTAATAGAAAACGGTGTAGTATTTGCATAGAACCTACACACATCACCCCTCCCCCCCCATACTTTACATCATTTCTAGATTACTCATAATACCTAATACAATGTAAATGCTCTGTAAATAATTGTAAGTACAATGTAAATGCTTTTTAATAATTGCTGAAGTGGGGTGAATGCAAGTTTTGCTTTTTGGAAATTTCTGGAATTTTTTTTTCTGAATATTTCAATCTTTGGTCGAATTCAAGGATGCAGAACCTGTGGATATGCAAGGCCAACTGTATGCAAAGTCCACAGCTGAGCAGGGTTGAACGTGGAGTAGCTCAGAAGCTGGAGAAGGGAAGAGAAGGAAAGGAGGGATCAGGGTGGAGTCAGGAGATGTGGTTCTGGGCCTGGCACTGCCTCTGTGTTCCTGAATGCCTTGAAGTGCGTCACTTCTCGTAGGGTGTGTTTTGCCCTCATCTGTAGACCAAGGAGGGTAGACAGGATCAGTCCTTCACAATGTGTGGAATGATCACAAGAGACACCCAAAATGATTCCAGGTGTTTCCAGGACATAGAGCAAATAATGTTGAATCACGTGGTGAGAAAGTCACTCTCTTGTCAAGTTTTTTGGCCACCTTTTTCTTTTCATTCCCTTCAAGGAGAAAGTCTCAGGTCAGGGCTGAGACTGCTCCAGAACATTTGCTGATCCTCCCCTTCTCCCAAGGAGCCAGAAAGACATCAGCAGCAGCATCTGGAAGAACCTAATAATGTTTAGCCTTTGTTTTCTTTTTGTGGCTGTCACGACATTATGGAAAACCCCCATAAGTGGGTTTCCACTTATGGTCCTGATGTGCAGTTTTTTTAAATAAATGTTTTTAAGCAAAAGAGATTTAGTTTTAAGTATTATGTAAATGGAATACAGATGATATGTGGATATAGCAATGAATCATGAAGGTTATATAGGAATAGCTGACATTTTAGAAACACTGGTGCTCTTCCAGCTCAGTATTTAAAGACTCTCAGCAGTAAGACCAGAGCACCCATATCCTCCCTCAGGGGTCTACCAGGCCTCCACTTTTCTGCCTTCTTGGTCACCAGCCACAATCCTGCATGCCCACTAGATGAAAAACTGCCTGGGAAATTGAATTCAAGCCTGGTTACCTGAGGGGACTTGCCACTCCCTCCTGACTGCCTAGGGAGGGTCAGCAGCACCCCTTGAAACAGCTGGCTGGTTTCCTGGTTGTCTTTGGTGATGTCGGCATTCTCGTGCAGGCCAAACACTTCTGGGTGGGCTGTGATAGGGAGGTTCCTGAGATATTCAATATAGGACTGGAAAGGAAATCTTCAGTTGACATAAATTCAGGTTCCTTGGGGTCCCACAGATCACCCAAGGTTTTGCCAGAGCAGACCCATGCAGGAATCACACTGTTTCGGTAGCACAGGCCATAGACACACACATGCACACACCGCCGGGGCCAAGACATCCCAAGCTTTCCCTCATGCAGGTTTCGGAGGAGTGAGTATGATTATGAAGGTAGATGGACTGAGTATCTCCCCTCCCACTTCTGCTGGCTTCCTCCCTGCTCCCCCAGCAGTCTTAGCTTTGGAGACAAAAACTGGGTTTGGATTCAGGCAGGACAGGATTTGGATCCTAGCTCCATCTTAAACCAACTGTGTAACCTTGAGCTAGTCACCTGAAAGCCCAGTTTCCTTATCTGTAAGTGGGAAAATAAATGAGGTTATGAAGGAATAAGGCTTCGGCACATTAACAGGTACTCGATGAAAGTAAGCCCTTTTCATTCTTCCTTCAGATTTCTTGTTTTCTTCTTCCTTTTATCATTCTCCCATCCAGTTTTTGTGTCCCTCCCTTTGCCACCTTCTGAACCTTTGATTTCAAGTAGCAATTTCCATCCTGTTCACTACCAAGGCTTCATCTTAAACACCACTCCCCCTTCTCCCCAGATGGACCCCATATTTTGAAAGATCTTGTCTACCAAATGCCCAGCATTCATTAAACAGTAATAATGTCTATCTTGTAGGCTTTTGGGAAGATCTGAAATAGCTTATGGACCGAGTCAGGAAGCCCAAGCTATCCCTGGGCCCTCCTTTGATACACTGCAACCCTAGCCACATGGAGACTGCCAAGCCCCTCTGGGGGGACAGAGGGACCTCTCCCTCCCCTGCCCCTCACCTGGTAGGAGCCATGAGGAGGGATGTAGTAAGTGTCTCCAGGAGCAAGACAGTAATGGTCCTGCTCAATTTCCTTACAGTAGAATGTGGACAGAAGGGATAGCAGGAGCCTTCTGTCTTTGTCATCTGTCACTCTGCCTCCATAATTACATTCCCCTGGGGACAACCAACAGAAGAAGAAGTTGAGCCCATAATGAATTTAGTCAATAACCTAAAATAGAGGATTCTTCCAGCCAAGGAGCTCTGCTGAGACACAGGGTTGCTAAAACCATGCTCAGCTTGGGATGAGACCAGGCCTTTCTGGTATTACGGTTGCCACAAAAATAATACATGTTCACCATATCAGAAATTAGAAAATAGTGATAAACTGAAAGAAAAGCAATACAATCACCAATAATTCCAACAAAGGTAACTGTTAACATTTAGGCATCTTCCAGACATTTGTTTGGACATTTGTGTGTATGTGTACATAAATGTGAAAGGCATTATAGAAATGTGGTTCAGGGCAAGAACTCTGGCATGAGACAGTACTGAGCTCCAATTACAGCCAGTTTCTGGGCTCCAACTTTTGCCACTTATTAGCAGTTTCTCATCTGTCTAGAAGTAGAGATAACTGCATACCTATCTTACGTTGTTGTGGTTAACAACGCTCATAAAGCATTTAGTACAATGCTTAGCATATAGAAAGCATTCAGTTACAGCTTTTACAAATACGTAGAGTTTAGAAAATTAAGATTATCCTATATATACTTCTTTGGGACTTGACTCTCCTACCCTCATCCCCATCATCAACATCATTCTCTGAGACTCATGTTTCTACACTCAGATTTCTACAAAAAGAATTAGGTAATTTTTTGAGGGGCCATCAAATCCGTCTCACCAACCCAGGATGCATTTTCTAGCTGGATCAGATTCCACAGTATGTGGGTACCACCTGGTATTTGGAAGCTGGGGAATAACACACTAGTCTGCAAGGAAAAGACGTGTGTGTGTGTGTGTGTGTGTGTGTGTGTGTGTGTGTGTGTGTGTTCGTTCGCATGCAAGGGCTCCCCTGAAGGGTGGGCTCATTTCCAATTCCAATCATTCTAGGAAGGGGCAGGTCTATGGACATGAAACAGGAAGTATGACTCAAGTTGAGGAGGCCTCAGCCTCTCTTGGTACTGGAGGGGTCTAAATGTCTAGGAGGAGCATCCTGGTGGCTCATTAAGGAAGAAGTAAGAGACTAAGGGGAAGCTCATACCTACTGAGTAATTTTAGCCCTACAAAAACCGTTTGACCTTAAGCCAGACCATCTAGATCTCTCTCTGTTGACCTCTCAGGCCTTTAGCAAAGTTTAGTTGGAACATTATAGTTTGTCCCAGCTGTAAAGAGGTTTATGACAACACTAGAACTACGATATTAAAGGGAGAGTAGTTCCCCCCTGAAGTCAGCATGGCAGTGCTAGAGAGTACCAAAGAGGGACTACCAGTGAAGGTAAACCTTAGGTACAGAGTCATGATTCAGGGTCCCACCTCCACTCTCTCATCAGCAAATTTTACTTCAGGGGATACCCTTATAGGCTCTGGGTTTTATGTTTATGAAGGAAGGTGCATTTCTTTACTTATATGACTCCTCTTTGTAGCAGGAGCACAAGTTCCTAAAGGGGCCAGGATGTGCCTTATATCTCTTCTAGATTCTTCATTGGCTCTGCCACAGGGTTGGGGGTACCAGATTAAGAATGTATTTGACTTTGGCCCATCTAATTCGATAACCACTCTCCAAATAAGACCTGTCTCTGGTTAGTCTGTCCCTTGCGGTCAGTACAGAGCTCTAATAATCATCTCTATCTGATCTTCTTTCCTTCCAGGTACATAGGAAGGTTATAACTCCCAGGGCCTCTGGCAGTGAGGTGGGGTCAGGTGACAAGTTCTTGCACATTTAACTCCTGGCATGAGCTCTTCAGTGCTACCCTGTGGCAGTGACCACACAAGTGTATGTTGAGATGGTGGCATCAAAAGTTGGTGGAGTCTTTGCCAACTGTGCCCCTGATAGATAATTACAATGAGCAGAGACCCTTGCCAATTCACACTGGACATGCACAATGGGCAAGAAATGTCTCACACCCTTGAGATTTGGGGATTGCTTGTTATCTCAGACTAACTAGTCTATCCTGACTGGTGCAGTTGGAAAGTGACTATCCTCAAGCCAGCTGGCACAGTTGGAGCAGGTTGGTTTATGAGCTGCAGTACTAAGTTATGAGCTGCAATACTAAGACCTCATCCCAGGGCAATTATGCGCTCATTCTGTGATCGGAAGGGGAGCCCTGGGATGTGCTTCTGTGTGGTCTGGAATAATGGGAATATGGCTCATTTCTTTGGAAAAGTTCTTTCACCTAACTAAAATCCACTGAACTTATGTTGTGTGTCACTTGGGGTTTTGGTTTAGGAGACACTGTGCTGAGTTAAGGTCTTTGTCACCTTTTACAAATGAATTTAATCACTCTAAAGCAGGATTTCTCAATCTTGGCACAATTAACATGTTGGACTGGGTAGCTCTGTGTTGCAGGGGGCTGTCCTGTGCATTGTAGGATGTTTAGCAGCATCCTTGGCCTCTACCCAGTAGCACATCCATTTAGTTGTGACAACAAAAAATGTCTCCTCAGTTTGTCAGATGTCCCCTAGGAGACAAAATCACCCTTGGTTGAGAACCACTGCTCTAAGGCCTCGGTCTTGTCAGTTGTAAAACAGGGTCACTAAAGTGAAGCTCATAAGATTGCTGTGGAGACTGAATGATGTAGATAAAGTGCATGCCGTATGACTGGGGAAAGGATCCAGAGTTGAGGGAGGAACTTGTGTGTGACCTGGAAGATGCCCAGGTTTTTCTATTGAGCTGCATTTTGACTTTTGGCCATGGTAATCCATTCATTTAGCTCATCTATAGTTTATCTCCTATCTCTGGGGTTACATGGTGTGCTTCTTGAGGGCAGTGACCAAGTCTTATATATTTACATTCTTCCATATTATGTACTAGTATATATTGGATGACTGATAAAAGATTGCTGATGAATCGCTTTAATACAAAACAGCAAGTGTCATCATCACCTCGGGGCACCTCTGCTGGGAGTGCCCTCCTTCCTTTTTCCCACCGCCTGCCTCCACTTTCTTCTTCCACTTGTAAAAGTCCTACTTATCCTTCAAAACCATCTTTCACGCCTTCAGGAAGTTTTCCCTAATCATCCCCACCCCATGTCTGAAATTTAATCATTGTGCTGTCTTATAAATGTTTCTCTTACTGAACTTATCACTGTACTGTTATTTATTTTGTTATATTTCCCTCCCTTTGTAGACTGTGCACCCCTTAAAGGGAGGGATTGATCTTGATTTTTCTGTGTGTGTTTTTTGTTTTTGTTGGTTTGTTTGTTTTACAATATCCGGCATGGTGACCAGCATCGTTAAGAGCTCCATGTCTGTTGAAAGCACGAGTGAGTAAGTAAACAAATGGAGATGGAAGCAGAGGAGCAGGAAGGTGGAGCACAATCGTGGAGGTTTATGGTTGCCAAAGCCTCCTTCCGTAAATACCTGTCAGGTAGGTCAGAGCATCCAACGGCACCTCCTTGTAGTCATCCAGAAACATCTGGATCTGCCGCATACTAATCCTCAGGTCGGATTCGTTGAATTCATAAGGAATATTCCAACCTGCATGAGGCAGAGATAAATTAGATGCTTCAGGGATGAGAGCTCTTAATTTCCACTCAGAGATTGAGCTGGTGGAATTAAGCATCATTATGGATCAAGAGCCTCTTTCAGCCCTGTGAATATCAAGCACCATGCCAACTATTAGCTTTGACATTTACTGCCAACGTGGGAGACATTCTGCCTGAGAAAACATCCATTCTAAAGTCAGTTTCCTTATGGATCTCCCCCATTTGATAAGGAAGATGTTAACATCCTGGGATTTGTGGAATGAGAGTTATTCACCCTGGCTGGAATACTGTGGTAACGCACCAAATGCCAAAAATAACACCAAAGCATAGCTAGAGAGCACTATCTGTGATTGGGCAATAGAACTAAGTTAGCTTTGAGAATTCCCCTCCTCCCACTCATGGGAGAACTAGATGGCAGGCCTTGAAGAAACTACTGCTTGTACTTTCAAGTGTTATAACGGTAAATGCCCAGTGGGGCTGCACAAGTGACATAAATGTATGAACCAGGCTGGATGTAAGACAGTAGGTTATGGTAGGACCTGTGCTCAATGGAGACGTTTAATTTCCTCCTAAACATTCACATTCAAATTAAAAATATAATAAAATAACAAAAACTTCGGTTCTGGCAAAGAGAACACAACTGGGCAGTTGACTATAAGCCAAACTGTTGTATGGGTGTTTGGAGGTCTGGCACGGGTGGGAGAATGGTGGTGGGAGAACGTGGTGTGTGAGATGCAGATGTAGAGGGAGTGTCCCCTTCGGCTGTCTCGTCTCTGAAACCCTCAGTTGAAGGGTCAGGTGGTCTGTGAAGCTAACTGGGGCAGGTAGAAGGAAAGAGGATGTTCTGAGAGAATCACCAAAAGGACAATTTGCCTCCTTTTGTAACCCAAAAGAATGGCTAAGGATACCTTGAGGTGGGTCATTTCAAGAAAAGAATCAGACTCAGCCCATGGGTGAGAGAAAAATAATCCAACCTTAAAACCATGGTGATATGGGATCTGTATTTAGCAGATGATCTGCTCTAACAAGAATACTGAGTCACTTAAGTTAGGCCATGGATAAGTTACATTAATAAAGAAATTTATGTTCATTTTTTCAAGGAGAAGCACAAACAGATGTCCCAGCTGTATTTCTTTCATTGTTATGCACAGGTAAAGAGAGCAACCCAAAATGTTATAAATTACCTGGTGACAATTCCCTGGAGAGTGGCCATGATACCCAAGCTAGGCAAATACACCAAAGGGAAGGGCCTCCACTCTTCTCATTATCATATTACTTCAGTAATTAGGGGACCTCTGATTCTGGAGCATCACCTCTTTCCTTGAAACAAAGTATGAACCAAAATCTATTTACCCCTTTCCCTGACATTGATATTGACCTGGTTATAGGACTGCCAGACTTGTTAAATAAAAATACAGAGACACTCAGTGAAATTTAATTTCAGATAAACAACAAATCATATTTAGTATAAATATGTCCCAAATATTGCATGGAACATACCTATACCCTATTTTACTGGCAACCCTGGGTACAAACTTGAACGCGCCCCTGTATCTGTCTGTGATCTTTCCCCCAGGTAATCCAGGTATGCTGTCATCTCTCACCTAGGGGTCCAAAATTTCTCCTCTCTTGAACGACGGCATGGAAGAAGCAAAGGCCAAACAACAGCTTTTGCCACGTCACTGCTTTTGTACAGCTTTGGAAGAACACGGGGTCTGAGATGGGGTCATTGAGGTAAGAGCGCAAAAGGTTGGCCCGGAGCCCTTTGGGGGGCTCATTGGTCATTTTAATCCCATTCTGGAGGATGCTGACTGGAAACTTCTCTGATGGATAGCTGGTTAACCAGAGTCTGGAAGAACAACAGACCCAATTATTTACAGCAATGCAATACATTATATTGAAAAACAGTAACAAAAAATAATAACTACCATTTATTAAGCATCACTAGATGCTGAACCCCATGCTAAGAATTTAGTTTATGTCCCTTCATTTACTTTAATCCTCACAGCCACCCTATGATTTATTATCCCCTTTACCAGTGAGGAAACAGAGGCATGGAGAAGTTAAGTGGGGTTTTCAAGGACACACCACTTAGAAGCAGCAGAACCAAGATGAACTCAGGGCTCCCTGACTCCAAAGGCCCTGTCCTAATCACTACACCATGTTCCTGCCCTGCTGGACTTTCTGAGCATCTGTTATGGTCAAATACTACACCCGGCACTCCAGGAGTGGCCGAAATGAGAAAAGAATTGTTTCTTGCTTCTAGATACTCACAGCCTTGCTGCTAGGAGGGGAAATGGGAGCTGGGGAGGGGAGAAAAGACAAGCAAACAGAATGCCAAGGAGTTATAAAATCAAGACCACAGGGAGGGAGGGAAATAATGGGCCACGGGGGTCCATGGGAAGAAGAGATTTCCACGGGGTGGAGAGAGCAGAAGTCTGCAAACTACTGCCAGGGAGCCAAATCTAGCCTTAGCCTGTTTTTGTAAATAAAATATTATTGGAACATGGCCACACCTCTTCATTTACAAATTATTTATGGATGCTTTCATGCCACAACAGCAGAGCTGAATAGTTGCAACTGACAACATGTCCTGTAAAACCTAAAATATTTACTATCTGGGCCCTTACAGGAAAAGTTTGCTGATCCCTGTCATAGAGGCCAGTGGCATTAGAAATGGGTCTTGAGGATATGGAAGATTTCTTTTCTTAAATAATAAAAGTATATCTACGCCCAAAAGAAATGGGAACATAGGTAAAAGTATTTAGAAAGGAAAAAAATACATGATTTTACCATCTACAGGTTAACATTTTGGCATATTGTCTTCCAGGCTTTTATTCGTTTGTTTTTCTTACTCAAGCTCAGGTTACATACACACTATGACATCCTGTTTTGTTTCATTTTTGTGGGTTTGTTTTTCTTTTTTGCTAGACATTAGAGAGGTTTCCAACAGGAGGATTTGGGGATGGAAGGTCATTAAAGACACAGGACACAGGCTGAGCAACTGCACGGACGAGGAAAAGGTGGGGATGTGGTAAGGCCTATAGTGGGCAGCCTGCTGCGGTCCAGGCACAGGCCTCAGAGGGGAGGGAAGAGGCCATAACCTGGGGGCCTGTGGCCTGACTTCAGTCTGCAGATGGGTGAGGTTTAACTCCATGCAAACCAACACAATGCTGTAACATATTTTTCAAGTAGTTGCCAACTTTTAAAAATCTAGGGCTTTCTTTTAAAAGTTCTAGATTCCCGTCTTTCCTCTAAAATAGTCATAAAATCTGGATACAAGAGGCCTGTATTCCTGCTTGGCAACAGCTGGTAGTAGGCAGTCTTCTCTTCTCTACAGGGCATGTGCCTCTAGTTCACCACAGTCCCCACCACTCTCTACTGGTATTCAACACTGAGGCTGACCGTCCATGGTGATAGCTACTGTACTGTGGAAAGTGGAATATTTCTTGTGCCCAGTCCTTTTCACTCATTTATGTTACATTCCTCATTGTATAGGCACTTGAGTTTGTGACTTGGGTTAAGATCATATTACAGAAGACCTTAAATGTCAACATGAATAATTTTTTCTTCATTGAGTATGTCACTGATGGTCAATGAGTCAACTCAGCATCCAAAACCAAATAGAATTCTTGAAATTAATGGATTTCCTCTTAAACTCTTACATGAATCTTATACGAACCTTACATGAATACAATCAACTACGGCCTAATCTGGCTTTGTAAATAAACACCAAACGCTTTTCTATTTTCAGGCAGACATGACTAAAATAAAAATAACCGGCAAACTTTGTTGCCTAGAGCAGGAGTTGGCAAACTTTTCCTATGAAGGATCAAAGAGTAAATGTTTTAGACTTTGCATGCCATATGGTCTCTGTCACAACTACTTGAAGCATAAAAGCAGTCGTAGACAGTATATGAGTGAGCATGGCTGTATTTCAATAAAACTTTATTTATAGACACTGAAATTTGAATTTCATATAATTTTCACATGTCATGAAATATTATACTTCTTTCAATGTTTTTCAACCATAAAAAATGTAAAAGCTATTCTCAGATTGCAAGCTGTACAAACACAGGCAGCAGACTGGATTTGGCCGTAGTATGCTGACCCCTGGCCCAGAATGAAAGAATCACCGAACATTTGAGTTAAAAGGGGCTTTGAAGTCTGTTTCATCTCATCATTCTCTAAATGCAAATACTTAGGCCCAGTCTTGCTGGGCTTTAAAGTTCACAGAAAATAAATAGCTGCTCCCAATATTGATTAAAATTCCATGGATCTAAGCAGGTATGGGATAGATCGAGTGCCTAGACTACGGGTGGATTTTTTTTTTGTTTTTAGGCAAGTAAGTTTTAAAACTCCGATTTGCTGGCATTTAATCTACCTTCCCAGGCACATCTCCTATCACCTGCCAAAAACAATTTCTCACAGTGTATACCCAGGAATCATAGGATAACTTCTTGGTCTTTCCTTTGCTTTTACAAATGCTGCCCTTTCTGCCTGGAATGTCCTTCCTGGAAAACTCCTATTCATCTTTTGGTACTCCAGGTCTTCCCCAAATTTTCCTTCCCTTTTCCATTCTTACTCAAACAGGTACAGCAGGTATTGCATGGTATCAATCAACATTATTCATCTATGGTCTGCCTTCTACTAGACTGAGAGCTTCTTTAAGGGTAGAACTTGTGTCTACACAGTACCCTTGTGTCTTGTTCATCTTTGCGTTCCCAGCCATTAGCATGACGTCTGGAACTCGAGGTTGGGGCCCAGAGACTCAGTGGCGGGGCAGCATCTCACCTGAATCCCATATTGGTGCTCTCAGGAACAATCACCTCCTCACAGATCTTCTCCAGAGCAGGCATCCAGCTCGTGGCCAGATGACAGTTCTGTAAGACCACCCAGGTCCCATCTTTGATGGCAGTGTTAATCATTTTGGCAGCAATAGGGCCTTGGCCTTGGCCAAGGGAGATGGTCTGTGTTTTGGCACCTCCCATGCCAAGATCATCAGCAAATTTCAGCAGGCCTGAGATCAGGAAGAAAAAAGGCTTTTGAAAGAGAACAGGCTGTTTAAGACCGTATTAATAACAACAACACAGAAGAAGGGGTTACATTAAAATTCTGGACTCAGAAAAGAAAGCCACTGGCTTTTGTTAATTATGAAATTAGCATCTTTCTGAGGAAGCTTTAGACTTCTGGTAAGATGGTGAACGAAGATACTACCGATTCCTCTTTAGCTCTAAATAGATAGACATTCTTCATGAAAAAAATAATAATAATAAGAGTTTGAAAGGAAGAGAAATTCCCAGGTGCCAGAAATGAAGAGGGAACTCCAAACTAGAAAGGTTAGCACATAACCAAAGGACTAGGAACTGGGTTTTTCTTTTTTAAAAATTTTATTGGAGTATAGTTGATTTACAATGTGTCAGATTCAGGTGTACAGCAAATTGAATCAGTTATACATATACATATACCCACTCTTTTTTAGATTATTTCCCATATAGGCCATTACAGAGTATTGAGTAAGAGTTCCCTGTGCTATACAGTAGGTCCTTATTAGTTATCTATTTTATATATAGTAGTGTGTATATGTCAATCCCAATCTCTCAATTTATCCCTCCCCCCCTTACCCTCTGGTAACCATAAGCTTGTTTTCTACATCTGTGACTCTATTTCTGTTTTGCAAATAAGTTCATTTAGGAACTGGGTTTTTGTAAATTTATTTTACTAGGAAAACAGGTATTTGGACAGTGAAATTTCAAATAGATCTCTTTCACATCTCTCTTCCTCAGAGGCAGCCGATGTTACACCTTTTTGTGAGTCCTTCCAGAGATATTTCACGCATTTAAGTAAATGTGTATATACTATTATACTTACATGAATTGTAGAACACTATATTTGCTTTTTTCACTTAGATCTTTTCCACATCAGTACATATATAAAGGTCATATTCTTTTTCATGGTTATATAGTATTTCACCTTTGGAAAATACCATACTTTATTTCACCAGTCTAGTGATTGGAGTTTGTCCACAGGGAATATAGCTTTGCACTTACAAGGGGTGGGACACTAGAACTGAGACTTCTTTATAAAGTTAGGGTCCTCAAACGACTGCACTCTCATGTAAGAAGGCCAGAAATCTGCTTTGTGTTCTTTCTTTAATGATTTTTAGATGCGTTTCTTTTATGATCTTTTTTAGAGACAATATCCATCTGCTAGGGCTGCCATAATAAACAACCAAAGATTGGGTGGCTTAAACAACAGAAATTTATTTTCTCTCAATTCTGGAGGCTAGAAATCCAAAATCAAGGTGCTGGCAGGGTTGGTTTCCTCTGCAGCTTCTCTCCCTGGCTTGTTTGTGGCCATTTTCTCATGTCATATTTTCACTGTGTCCTCACATGGTCTTCTTCCTGTCAGTGTGTCTGTGTTCTAATCTTCTCTTATAAGGACACCAGTCATATTAGATTAGGACCTACCCTAATGACCTCACAACTAACTCTTTAAGGACCTTATCTCCAAATACAGTCACATTCTGAGGTACTGGGAATTAGGTTTTAACATACAGATTTGGGAGGGACACAATTCAGCCCATAATACCCCCATAATACTGGGGGTTAATTCTTTTGATTGTTCTATGGGCTGATTATGCCTTATAGTGATTATGCCTTATGCCTTATATATTTCCTCATGTAGTTTATAATTTTTTATTGTTGAGTTCACAACCAGCAAGTTTGTGTTATTTTGTGGGAGTCTGATATATCTTGGGTTTTAGGAGTGCCCTAACAGAACAATTTTGCATATGCAGACACTGGTGTCCCCAGCATCTTGCCATTCTGGATCAATTTTATAGGAAATTTCTTTTTTTTTTTTTTTTTTAATGGGAAATTTCTGGATCAATTTTATGGGAAATTTCTCAGCTTGAGAATCCCATACCATAGGGTACTGTAACTCTACACCTGAGTTTTAATTTCTCACTGAAGAATTGTTTACTTTTTCTACATTGCTTCTTGAGTCAGTAGCCTAAAATTCAGAGTTCTATGGAAAACAAAAATACATGGATTTGGAACAAAACAAAACTTCTAGAAATGGAAAGCACCGTCATTGAAGACAAAAACTCAAAGCACTGATTAAAAAAGCAGGTTAGATACAGCCAAAAAGAGAGTCAGTGGAAAGTAAGGTCTGCAATCAATGATGCATTTAGTAGTGATGGGAACACCAGGTCTCCGAATACCATCACCTGCTAAAGGAATTGGAGTTCCTTGGAGAAACATTTGTCCAAGATAAGCCTGAAATATATATGGTAGTTCTACACAGCAAGGAAGTTATCAAAAACCACTGGGGTATGTGAAAAGGATATTGACAGAGAGGTGCTACCACAGGCCAAAGACTGAATAATCTGAGCATCAAAAAGAATAATGACAGCAGTGGAGTAAAATACCACTACATTTGAAACATCCAATATGTTAAAACTAATACATTAATAATCGTACCAAAAAAACCCATCTTACTGCTTAAGTAACTTTGGAGGTTACTAGGGCACCAATTCATTATTCTGAAAGCTGGTAAATAAAGAGTATGAACCAAGCATCTTTTCTGCCTGTCCTTTTTTGAACTATATTTAGAGTAAACCAAAGAGTTGATAAAGAAAAATTCTTCATTATAGAAGAGTTCCAGCTAATAAACGTGGGAGGAATGATAGAATTAAAATATCATCATTTTGCAGCCCCTAATGAAATAATGGATCTGGGTAATGATTTTCTAAGGTTGATAAAACCATTAGGTCAGTGGTTCCCATTGGCTGCACACTGAAATTACCTGAAAAGCTTTATAAAACACAGTGCCTGGGTCTCACCTACAAAGATTTTAATTTAATTGGTTGAGGGTGAGGCCTGTACATGGAGATTTTTTTTTTTCTTCTTTCTTTCAATTTTTAATTGAGATGTTCTCTTTATTTCACTCTCATTCTTGAAAGATAGATTTTATGTTTGCATATTTTCTTTTAGCACAATGATGGTATTATTCCACAAATTGCACTGTTGTTATTGAGACATTTGTTGTCAGTCTAACTGCTGTTCTTTAGAGAGAATCTTGTTTTTCTCACTGACTGCTTTTGATTTATTTTTTTACTGAAGTATATAGTTAATTTACAATGTTGTGTTAATTTCTGCTGTACAGCAAAGTGACTCAGTTATACGCATATATACATTCTTTTTTATATTCTTTTCCATTATGTTCTGTCCCAGGATACTGAATATAGTCCCCTGCACTACACAATAGGACCTTATTGTTTATCCATTCTACATATAATAGTTTGCATCTACTAACCCCGAACTCCCAACTCATCCCTCTCCCACCCTCCACCCCCTAGGCAACCACCATTCTGTTCCCTATGTCTGCGAGTCTGTTTCTGTTTCATAGATAGGTTCATTTGTGCCATATTTTAGATTCCACATATAAGTGATATCATATGGTATCTGTCTTCCCATGGAGATTTTCTTAAAGCTCCCTAGGTGATTTCAATGAGCAGCCAAGATTGAGAACCACCATATTAGGTGAAAGGCTAATGGGAAACTTTATAAAGGAGGCGGTGGAGGAGTCGCGAGCAGAATCACACTGACAATGCCTGAGCCCACTGATCTATCTTAATGAAAAAAGATGACCAGACAGTAGGTGCCTCCTAATATGGCACACTCTGAGGGACACAGTACCTGCAGTTTCCTGGGAAGTTATCCCAGATGAATCTAATCAAGCCTCTAGCACAGAGGGACAGGAACAAGCTACATACACCGTTGGATTTTACAGGCCTGTCCTCTCCCAACACAGCATCATCATTTTACAGACCGTATTCTGACCCTGTCCCCATTTCTCTTCTCTACTTTTCCTGGTTTCCCCTCATTTCTCTTGTATAAGCCTGTCACAGAAAGGACATAGGGGAAGGAGAAAAGATGCTAGAAAGGGGTCATGAATTGAGCTTTGACAAAAACAATAATTCGGGTGTAGGAACCTGGAAAGGGTACTAGTTCATTTCAGTGCCTTCCTCTGATTGCCTTTGAGGAGAAGTGCTGGCTTTCTAACCGGGTCAGGATACATGTCAAATTCCTCAGCTTTCACAGAACTGCCAACTATGTCATTTGCATTTCTGGTATTCTTTCTTCATTCAGCAACAGAGAAAACTAAAGCTTTAAGATTCCCCAACAAAACAGAAAATGAAGCTATTTCTGTCAACAACTCACACCCTTTTATATGCACAAACACTTTCTGGAAACATACACAAACTGTTAGTAGTGGTTATCTCTAAGAGGGTTAGGAGGAAGATGTACCTTTCACTTTATACCAGGGTTTCTCAACCCCAGTACTATTTACATTTTGGGCTGGGTAATCTTTTGTTGTGGGGGACTGTCCTGGGCATTGTAGGATAGTTAGCAGCATCCTTTGCTTCTATCTACTAGATGCCAGTAGCACCCCCTAGTTCTGACAACAAAAATGTTCCCCCAAATGTCCCTTGAGGGGACAAAATGGAGCCATAGTCCTATACTTTTTGCATTGTTTGATTTGATTTTATTTTTTTTACTACATGCAGCATTAATTACTCAAAATATTTAAAAGTTGAAAGAAAAGAAAGAAGCGTAGCTGAGAGAAGCAACAGTCTGAGAAAATGGTCTAAGACAAAGGTGATAAACTCGCAGTCACTTGGCTAAATCTAGCCCTGGCTTTTTTTAAGAAAAAATCTGAATGAGATATCAAGATTTAAAAATGGGTGATTTCTACCTTTCTGGTTCCTCTTGAAAAAGCAGATGATCTGGTCATCCTGAGATCACATTATCAGATGGCACAATGCACAAGACCTGAGTAGCAGCTGCCCGCTTTAGGCAGGAGAAGTCTTATGTTGCCCCAGCCCTGCCTTAGTCTGTTAACTGCTTGACCCTCAAAGCCATTTGAATTTGAGATTCCTGCTGTAAGGGATATGCGATTGTCATTCATCCATGCATTCTGGGCCTTTAATATTGCTCACACAACATTCTGCCCTTACCTGCCATTGGGTCTGCACCCGGAGACAACACGAATATCAATGGTGTGCAGCAGCTGGAATCATTGTAGGACCCCTGGAGATCAAACGTAGGGGCTTCAGTGTATACGTTTCCCATGTGTTCAGCAATGAACTTCCGAATGGCTGGAATCATTTTGTCAGGCCGCAGACATCGGAGAATCGCCATTCTCTCCAAACCTTGAAGAAATTTCCAAGATCCAGGGAACATCTCCTCATGGGGCCAGGCTGAGTCACAGATGAGCTTCCATTCATTAGCATTTTGTTCCAAATGTTCCATGAGGCCTTTCAGTTTTGGCAACGCGGATGCACGAACCACTTCTGCCCACGCCTTCTCAGACAGCCATTCGGAAACTGGGTTGGGGAAGGGGTTGTCCAGGGCAATGCCTCCAGTTAGAAGAAAGTACCAAATTTCCTCGTTAATTTGCTTTTTCTCTTTCATGATGCCTATCGTCAAGAGGAGGGAGAAAAGCAGCTTGTCCTTCTCAAACAGAGAGTGGCAGACATTGTTGTAGATGCTTAGAGTGAAATGTTCAGTGATGTACTCAACTCGTAGCTCTAGTTCCTCGCTCCTCCTGCTATGGGCCAGGGAGTGCACGTAGAGGTTTATGAACCATGCCAGGGAGTACTGGTACATGGGTTCAATGTGGACCAGGTCAGAGATACAAAAGAAGATGGTGGCAGAGTGGACAGCCACTGGCTGGTAGCCCATCCGAGTCTCATCGATCTGCATTTCTGTCATTGAAGCAATTTCCTGTTTCTCAGAGATTTCTTCGGAAAGCAGTTTGGAGGAGGACAAAATTTTGATGGCAGTCTCGTCCTCAAGGATGTTGCCCTCAGAAAGGGAAAGGACCTCCAAGATCTTATCTTCAATTTCCTTTAGCTGCTTCTTGTTCTTGGCACTTTCCACAATCAACTTGTTCTTTTTCTCTTCCAGTTCTGGCTTCTCCTTGGCGGCCACGATGCCAAGGAGCTGATCTTGGAGGCCCAAGGGGGTGATCATAAAGTTGAGGAGACAGACTTTCACGGTGACTTCAGGGAGATAATGTGGGTTCCTCAAACGGGTTGTGATATATAACTTAAAATCCCTGGAATATTCAATGATGTTTTCACCAAGCCTCATGTACTCAACCCCTTGCTGTCTGAATGTGGACTTGAGCAAGATGGGTTCAATAAAGGCATCCAGCTCTTCCCCAACATTTTCTAGTAAGACTGGGGTACCAAACTGCAGAGCGTGTTCCAGCGTCCTCACATAGTTGGTATCCGAGAACTTGATGACTGACAGCCTATTTGCTTTCTCCATATTCTTGATCCACTTATTGGCCTGCCCCTGAGGGTCAATCATTAAGGCCCAGCGCCTGGAATTGGATACAATGATGCCATTGTCAATGGAGAAGGAGTCAGTGGGCAGCCCAGCAATCTGCCAGGCACGAATTTTTACAGGGTCTCCTAATGTGTTGCTAAGACTAAAGTCACTGGAGCCGGGGATGACCTTGTCCTTACACTGGGCCAACCACCACTTTTGGCACTCAGCCCGATAATCCATGGTAAAGGCCCCCAGGTAAGCCACGGTCCCAGAGGACAACAACACATCCCCTGTCAGATTAGTATAGCGGACACCCAGCTGCCGGGCAGCTTCTGTCCATCTGTCCTTCTCTCCCCCAAGACCACTGATCAGTTTTTCTGCTCTGATCAGCTTTTGGGAACAGATTTCAATGTTTTCCTCCAACATCTTTTTCTTGGTATTCATCTCTTCAAAGTCATCGTTCAGGGCCTGGAGGCGGCCTTCCACCATCTTCAGCTCTGCTCGCTTCTGGTTCAGTTTTTGCATCTGTGTGTCCAGCTTCCCCTCAGCCTCCTTCAGCCGCTCCCGTTTAGGAGCTACCACTTTGGCCACACGATCGTACACCTCCATGGCCCTCACCCACTTGCACAGACCCTCACACGCAGATGACACATTTTTAATAACAGCCGGCTGGAAATCTGGGTGATCAATAAACCTTTCCCGGATCCGCTTCATGATCATTGGTGGGATGTTGTCTTTGTCATATGTCTTAAGACTCTCCAAGAATTTCAGATCTCCGAGAATCTTTCTTGATACCCCCCAGTAATCTTCTGTCATTTTACCTGTTTGGGACAAAAAACAGAGATAAGACTATTATTAAGACATTCTGCCTGAAACTTACAGCCCTGCAGTGGCTACTTCTCATATTTGGCAAAGAAAAAAAAAAAAAAAAAAAAAATCCAAGGTCTTACAGAGGATTTTTAGGCAGAAGATATGTTGTATGATACCATAATGATGGAAACATGTCATTACATATTTGTCCAAACTTGTAGAATGTATAACACCAAGAATGAATACTAATGTAAACTATGGACTTTGGATATAATGATGTGTCCATGTAGGTTCATCAGTTGTAACAAATATACCACTCTGGCGGGGGATGGTGATAATCAGGGAGGCTAGGCGTGTATGGGAAGAGGGGGTATATGGGAAATCTCTGTATCTTCAACTCAATTTTGCTATGAACTTACGACTGTTCTGAAAAAATAAAATCTTAATTAAAAAGAAAAGCCCAAGCTTCTTACCATGGTCTGGGTGGCCCAGCAACCTTCCCCACCTCATCTTTGCCTTGCTCCCTGGTCTTCAGTCACAAGAACCTTACTTCAATTCCTGGACGATCCCAAGTGCTTCGCTACCATGAGCTCTTCACCTAGGCTGTAAATGGCGTCTAGATGGCTCCTGACCAGACTTCAGGCTCATTTGAAAAGCCACCTCTCTGTGGAGCATTTTCTTTCATCTCAGAGGCTAGAACATCCATTCTCTCTTTAGCATTGACGGCAATCTGTGATTTTTTTTTTTTTTTTGGTTTAGTTTTAATTGTCTGTCTCTCCCTCAAAGCTGTAAGCTTCTGGGGAGAACAAGATGGCGGAGTAATATGACACTGAGCTCACTTCCCTCCATGAACATATCAAAAGTACATCTACATGTGGAGCAGATCTCACTGAAAACCAACTGTAGACTGGCAGAAAGACTCTTCTACAGCCAAGGCTATAAACAGTGATCCGCATGGAGTTGGGGAGGAAGGGAGAAGCCATCAGGTTGGGACCTGTGCCCCTAGGAGGAGATACAGAAGAGGAGGGGATATCACAGGCTTGGAGATCCTCCCTGGGAGTGAGGAGTTCAAACACATATTGGGCACCCTTGGGGTCTGGCACCAGGAAGATAAATTCCTTTAGCTGACTTGAAAACCAGTGGAACTTTTAGGACAAACTGAGACTCCACTCATAAAGAGTGCACACAAGCTTGCCTACTCCCGGGAACAAGATGAAGAAAGCAGATTGAAACTGCCTGGGGCACTGACCAGCTTCCCACCACTGCCCCAGTATGTGCCCGGCCTGCACCAAGTGCCTGCTCCAGCTCCTCTAGCTCTGGTATAGCTCCCCACTAGGGTGAAGGCTTCCATTGCTGAGGAGAGTGTGCACTTGTCGGGGGGGGGGGGGGGGGGGGACGGAGCTGGTCCAGACCTGGCACTGCATCTTAATGGGATGAGGGTATCCATTGCTGGAGCTCATGGAGGCAGTGGATCAGGAGCTGTCTGGAGCTCCGACTGGTGTGCTGGGACCATCCCAGCACACACCTAGCCCATACAGGGTGCCTGCTCTGGCCTCCCTTGCTCCAGAACTGCTCCCCTCTGGGATAAAGGTGCCATTAATGGGAGGGGGAGAACATACATTTACAGAGAATGGAACCAGCTTGGACCCAACCCGCAGGGCTTCTGCTCCAGAACCATGGGAACTGCCCTGCCCTTGACGGGGTGGTGATGACCACTGAGCATAGGAGAAGGCTCATCTCACACCTGGCTCTGGCTCTAGCCCCTCCATCTCCAGCCCCCTTCCCACCAAGGTGATAGCTGCCAGCAGACCCTGGGGAAAGATGTGACCCATGCTCACTTCAAGATTCAGCTCTTCCACCAAAGCCACTGGCCACACATAGACTGCACAGGGACACTCCCACACAAAAACACTCCTTCGAGACTGGGATAGGTAACTGTTTCATGTACTTTCATAGAGACAGAGACTGTTAAACAAAATGAGAAGACAGAGGAATATGTTTGAAACAAAAGAACAAGGAAAAAACCCTAAAAAACAACTAATGAAACAGGAATAAATAATTTACCAGATAAAGAGTTCAAAGCATTAGTAATAAGAATGCTAACTGAACTTGGGAAAAGAATAAATAAGCACAGTGAAAATTTTGACAAGGAACTAGAAAATATAAAAAAGAACCAGTCAGGGGCTTCCCGGGTGGCGCAGTGGTTGAGAGTCCGCCTGCCGATGCAGGGGACACGGGTTCATGCCCCGGTCCGGGAAGATCCCACATGCCATGGGGCGGCTGGGCCCGTGAGCCATGGCCGCTGAGCCTGCGCGTCCGGACCCTGTGCTCCGCAACGGGAGAGGCTACAACAGTGAGAGGCCCGCGTACCACAAAAAAAAAAAAAGAACCAGTCAGAGCTAAGAATACAATAAATGAAATAAAAACACAATGGAAGGAATTAACACCAGACTAGATGATACAGAGGAACACATTAGTGATCTGGAAGATAGAATAATGGATATCACCCAATCAGAAGAGCAGAAAGAAAGACAAATAAGAAGAAAAATAGAAAGCAATGAATGAGATCTCTGGAATAACATTAAATGTGCCAACATTTGAATTATAGGGGTTCCAGAAGGAGAAGAGAGAGAGAGAAAAGAGGCAAAATGTATTGGATGAAATCATGGCTGAAAACTTCTTGAACCTGAAGAAGGAAACAGATATCCAGGTCCAGGAATCACAGAGAGTCCCAAACAAGGTGAACCCAAAGAGACCCGTGCCAAGACATATAATTAAAATGGCAAAAATTAACGAGAGGATTCTAAAGGCAGCAAGAGAAAAACAGAGTCACATACAAGGGAACCCCCATAAAGCTATCAGCTGATTTTCCTGCTGAAACCACAGGCCAGAAGGGAGTGGCATGATATATTTAAAGCGATGAAAGGGAAAACAACCTAGGATGCTCTACCAGCAAGATTATCATTCAGAATTGAAGGAGAGATAAAGGACTTCTCAGACAAGCAAAACCTAAGAGTTCATCAATACTAGCCAAACCTAAAAGAAGTGTTAAAATGTCTTCTTTAAGTGGAAAAGAAAAGGCTATGACAAGAAGTAAGAATTTATAGGAAAGGGAAAATCCCACTAGTGAAGGCAAATACATAGAAGAGGCTGTGGATCAACCACTTAAATAAGCTAGTATGAAGATTAAAAGACAAAAATTGTTTAATCAATTATAACTACAATAAACAGTTAAGGGATAAACATGAAGATGTAAAGTATGACATCAAAAACACAAAACATGCAGGAGGGGAGTAGAAAAACATAGCTCATTTAGAATGTGTTCAAGCTTAAATGACTATCAGTTTAAGACAAGTAGATACAATTATAGGTCAACATATATGACCCCAATGGTAACCACAAATCAAAAATCTACAATAGATACACAAAAAATAGAAAGGAACATAGCATAAGACTAAAGAAAATGATCAAACCACAAGAGACTAAAAGAAGAAAAGAACTGAGAACTATAAAAACAACCAGAAAAGAAGTAACAAAATGGCAATTAAGTACATACTTATCAATAATCACTTTAAATGGCAATGGACTAAATGCTCCAATCAAAAGACACAGAATGGCTGATTGGATAAAAAAGCAAGACTGCTGCTTATAAGAGGCTCACTTTAGAGCTAAAGACACACAGACTGAAAGTGAGGGGATGAAAAAGGTATTTCACACAAATGAAAATGAAAAGAAAGTGGGGGTAGCAATACTCATATCAGACAAAATAGACTTTGAAACAAAGTCTATAACAAAAGACAAAGAAGAGCATTATATAATGATAAAGGGATCCACATAAGAAGATATAACATTTGTTAACATATATACACCTAATATAGGAGCACCCAAATATATAAAGCAAATATTAACAGACATAGGGGAGAAACTGACAATAATACAATATTAGTAAGGGACTTTAATAACACCCTACTTACATCATTAGACAGATCACCCAGACAGAAAATCAATAAAGAAACAGTGGTCTTAAATGACACATTAGACCAACTGAATTTAACAGATATCTACAGGAAATTCCATCCAAAAACAACAGAATACACACTCTTTTCAAGTGCACATGGAATGTTCGCCAGAATAGATCACATGGTAGGCCACAAAACAAGTCTCCACAAATTTAAGAGGCTAGATATTATATCAAGCATTTTTTCTGATCACAACAGTATGAAACTAAAAAGCAACTACAGGAAGAAAAATGGTAAAAACACGAACATGTGGAGACTAAGCAACATACTATTAAAAACCAGTGGGTCAATGAAGAAATCAAAAAAGAAATCAGAAAATACCTTGAGACAAATGAAAATAAAAACACAGCTTTCCAAAACCTATGGGACAAAGCAAAAGCAGCTCTAAGAGGGAAGTTTATAGTGATACAGGCCTACCTAAAGAAACAAGAAAAATCTCAAATAATCAACCTAATCTGCCAACTAAAGGAGTTAGAAAAAGAAGAACAGTCAAAGCCTAAAGTCAGCAGAAGGAAGGAAATAATAGAGATTAGAGAAAAATAAATAAAATAGAAAAGACCAATGAAATGAAGAGCTGTTTTTTTTTTTTGAAAAGATAAACAAAAATGATAAGCCTTTAGTCAGGCTCATCACAAAAAAAGAGGACAAAAATAAATGAAATAAGAAATAAAAGAGGAGAAATAACAACAGATGTCACAGAAATACAAACCATCATAAAATAATATTATAAATAATTATATGCCAACAAACAGGGCAACCTAGAAGAAACGGATAAATTCCTAGAAACATACAATCATTCAAGACTGAATCAGGAATAAATAGACAATCTGAACAGACTAATCACTAGTAGTGAAATCAAATTGGTAATCAATTTAAAAAATCCCAGCAAACAAAAGTCCAGGACTGGATGGCTTCACAGGGGAATTCTACCAAACATATAAAGAATGGCTAATACCTATCCTTCTCAAACTATTCCAAAAAACTGAAGAGGA